GTTAAGGAAAACCAATCTCAGTCCGTTATAGCGACCCACATTGAGTCCCAGAACTCATTCGCGCCTCTCGAAGTAGACATGGAGTGCTCCAACTCCAACTCCGACTCAGAATCTACACTCCGGGGCTCTGGTTCTACGGAGTCGTCTGACTCAGACGGATCCGAAGAATCAGAGTTCACGACGGTGTCTTCCAAGCGTCGTAAACGCACCGCGAAAAACCTCACCCTTTCGGCGGCCTCTGCCGCCCCCGCAAACCCCGCAGCCCCCATAGCTGCCTCAGTCCCCCGCAGCTCCCGCTGCAGTTTCCGTGACACCACTGCCCAAGCCGGCCTCCCGCTGTGCTTCTAACCCGACTAAGAAGCAAGTCCCGCCCCCTGTCTTCTTACGAGACAAGGCTCAGTTCACCCGCCTCTCCAAAGCCTGCTACGACGCAGGAATTAAATACGACCAAGCCACCAACCTCGGGGAGGCTATTAAAATCATCCCCCCAATCTGTCGACGACTTTCGTCGTCTCACCAGGCTCTTCACAGCCGAACAAGTCTCTTATCACACGTACGCTCTTCCGGAAGAGCGCAAAGTCAGGGCCGTCATCCGAGGCGTCCCTTTTGAAATTTCCAACGAGGAAATCCTTGAGGACCTTAAGTCCCAAGGATTCCCGGTTGAGGCTGTGCATAAAATGCATAGCAGAACGGGCTTGAGGTTCCCCCTCGCTCTCGTTATTCTTGCAAACGCACCGGAGGCACAGACTATCTTCCGGCAGTTACGCACAGTGTGTGGGCTGTCGGGAGTTAGGGCTGAGCTCCCACATAGGCGCGGCTACCCGGCGCAGTGCCACCGCTGCCAGCTATATGGTCATGCGGCGGCCAACTGCTCCGCCCCACCCAGGTGCGTTAAGTGCCTCGACCCCCACAACACGAAAGAGTGTCCCCGGCCCAAAAATGCCGAATCCCCACCCGCGTGCGTCCTGTGGAAACAAACAGGCCACCCGGCTAACTACAGAAGCTGCCCTTGCGCACCTCACCCCCGCCCCATAAGGCACGCTCCACCGCCGGTTAATGCTAAGTCATTCCCGGCCCTCCCGTCAAGATTGCCACCTAAGAGATATTTTCGCCCATCTCAGGTAGACCCAAGGCCCTCCCGGGTCCCTCCCCCTCTTCTTCGCCCACCTCCGGGCTTCTCGCAACCATTACAGCCTCCAGTCTTTCCCTGGGGACCCAAAAAGGCCGACCCTCCGCGGTCGTCCCCCGCTGCACAGCAAACACAACCCTCAATGGTTGATGATCTAAATACGGTGTACGCCGCTATTAAGAACATCAACATTGGGGAGATCACCGTCTTAGCACGCAAATTGCGCGCTGCCAAGTCCCCTCAGGACCGACTCCTTGCTCTTACAGAGCATCATAATCTTTTAAGTACGTTATAAAATTATTTAATCAATTCATCGTAAGGTCAATACGTCGGGTTAAAACTGCCTTCGTAGGCACTCACTAATTAAAACTCTCTGAAACTTCTTCAAAGTCTCAGAGTTTCATTAAACATACTTATTCGTGAGGTAGCTAAGTGTGCAACCCCACTCCCTCTCGCTATCGCATCCGCAGGCCGAGGAACTCCCACTCGAACCCGCCTAATCTCTGTCAAACGATTTGAACTGCCTCCCGGTGGCTCAGTCAATTTCATAATCAAACTTTCATAAATAATTAAATTTGTACAATCAAATTGCCTTCGTAGGCACTCCCTCAGCGGCTTGTAGCCGCCTGCGCCCTCTTTTTCCCAAAAGAGGGTCGCTTCCGATACGGCATAGGAAGCTTTAAACAGCTGGTTGCCAGTCCCCAAAGGCGGTTTTTAGGGGGTATCACATAGGCTCCCCGGTTAGGCGTGAGTCCCCCATAACCACGATGGATAGCCATCGTGGTATGCGTAATGCATTTTCCGCCTCCCGTAAAGGGTAGCCCTTTTCCAAATTGCTTCGGGCGCAAAAAAAAAAAAAAGCTCGCCGCTCACTTAGCGGCCAGCCTCCGCAGAGTCTACTTCACCTGAGGATGCCTCGTGTAGAGGCGAAACACGTGCCGTATTTTCGAGAGTGGTGTGTCGTGTCTAGTGTGCTGGTGCTGGTGCTGGGGGTGATAGTGCTGGGATTAACGGCGACGGGTATAGTGCGCGCGATTGAAGGAGGGTGGGAGGTTCCCTTAAAACTGGGGACACATCATTTTCTTTCTTTACGCGGAATTAAGCAAATTAGTTTATAACAACCCCAAACATAAAAAATATTTCTTAACAACCCAAAAGTAATGTTTACAAGTTTGTAAAACTTTTGACTTCTTTTCAATAATACTTATTGAAAGTCATTTGTTTATTAAAGTCTTTTGTTTAATTACCACTGGTTTGGAAAAAAAACCTCTGTCCTGGGAAGAACCAGTAAGAAACTGAGCGGGACATTTTTTTAAATAATAGCTTACAATCATGTAATCACAATTAACCACACAAAACAAATTAGAAATAGCTTGGTAGCGATCAACTCATTCCCAGGTGTTATTATCATCCATAAATTCCTTAATATTATAATATATTTCTGGGATTTTGTTGTAAAATCGTATACATTGTATAGAATGAATTACTCGGTGGAGTCACAGTATAAATATGAATTCCTACTATATATTTATACTGTGGTGGAGTAGAGTAACTGGTACTACTAGCTTGTGTCTGTTCATAGTATTTACAGAATGAATATCACTTATTTTTGTATAAATACCTTTATTTATGTGTACGTAAATTACATTTTCATAAATATGTATTGAGAGGCCAAAGTTAATATATTAATTTCCTTGGTAACAACCAAACCAATCTCCGACAAAAATTTAAGGGAATGCACTAGCCGATATCATTCCGAAGGTGTCGTAAGACGCGACAGAAGGAAATGAATTAAAACATACGCAGCAACATCTTAGCAACAATAATAAGAAAACTGCGCTGCCCACCCACTTCCAAGTGGGGCTAATATTGTAAATATTCCCTCTATGAGGCAATATTTTTTTCAACCGACGTCAAAAAAGGAGGAGTTCTCAATTCGACTGTATTTTCTTACGTGTGTTACATCAGGACTTTTTTCTAGGTGAACCGGTTTTGATGATTCTTTTTTTTATTTGAAAGCTGGTGAAAGAAAAGCTGTGCTGGAAAACTACTGAGCAAGATCTAACCAGTAGTTTTTGAGTTACCCTTAATAATGCGTATTTAATTCACTTTGACTACATTGATGATGTTCTCATTTTATTTATATTCAAGTCGGTTGTATTTTTTTTTAATTATACCACTTGTTTTATAGAATAAGGGTGACAAACAAGCATACAGTCTACCTAATGCTAAGAGTTGATGCTTTCGCCCATAAACATCTACAATTATCCTCGATAAACAATCAAAATGCCGGTCACTCCATATGGTGGGGGATCGCCCAACACTATACTTTCCACTAGGCTACTCATGAACCTTTCTTCAATTTTTACAATACATTTTTTACACTATAAAAAGTCTGGAGTGAATTCGGAGTTAAACACATCGCGCCATCTACCTAGACAGGGCAGAAGAACTTCTTCGGATCAACTATCGGAATAATATAAATTTAAGGAAAAGAAAAAGTCTCGAGTAAAGGCTAGTAACAAATAATATTGTTACTAGCTTGGGGTTCGAGACAATTAAAAACTGCCGAGTGAGTTACCGAAATTGAAACTTTAATTACAGAACACTGATTACAACTCAAAACCACACATAACAAAACACAATTGTATTACTGATCACTTTAGTTCGCAGTTGTATCGCTTCGAAGTATTCGCTTGTAACGCCAATTCAACTCTGACTGGGTCGCGGTCTTTACCAGCCTTATATAGTGATAAATAAAAGGCGTGCGTCGAGTACAGGCATTTATTTCAACTGGCGACGGAAATACAATGCGCGCTTACCGGCTAAAACTACCCACCACATTTTATAATATGCAACACCTCCACCCTTATTTTGTACTATACATAATGACTAAGAACATAAGTTATACTTAAACATAATTATTTTATATTGTTACAAATATTCTACCTAAGAAAATAATATCAATGGACCTACTACTCAAATAAATATTACATACAATTTCTCTCTTTCAATTTTTTAATTATTACTTGTAACAATCATCTATACCATATCGTCTGACTGGTTTACATACACGGCGAACACCACGCGATTCATTAGTGACATTGTTGTTCGAGCCATGATTATCTATTTCCTGCACATTGGGCACGTTAGACGTTGGCGAAGTTGCCGTTAATACAGTATCAGTGTCGTCGGTTGGGTTTGGCGATGCGCCCTCCGGTACGGCCGCGCTTGGCCTGTTAACTGGCGCGTCGGACTGTTTGTCGTTGTTTACTGGAAACATTAGCGAAGGGCGGAATCGTTTTACAGATGATTCGCGTATTGTGTGACTGTTACGATTGTTATTATTATTACGTGTTAAGTTTACTATTTTGGTTACATCTTTTGACACTCTTCACTTTAGTTGGTCGATATGTCTGTGTTCCTCGGTTCCAGTGATAGATCTGACTTTGTAATCCGTACTACCTGTCCTCTCTATTATTGTCCCTGCCGTCCACTTATCAACGCCGCGATAGTCTCTAAACCAGACCTTCTCACCTGCCGCAAATTGTCTAATCGCTCCCTCAGCTGATGTTTCTGCTCGCTTCTGCCGAGCTTTTACTAATTCTTTCTGATCAGGTTTCAAACAATCTAAACGCATGCGTAAATTACGCCCTATGCACATTTTTGCAGGACTTTCACCGGTTGTGTAGTGTGGTGTATTTCTATAAGCTAATAGGAATCTACATAAAGACGTGTGTATGTCTGTTCTACACTTAATTGCTTTTTTAATATTACGTTTACACATTTTAACGGCATTTTCCAACGCCCCATTCGAAGCCGGGTGATATGGGGCTGAAAAAATTTGTTCAATTCCATTGGAACTTAAAAATTATCTGAACTCGTTACTGAAAAATGGAGGACCGTTATCACTAACCACTTGTTTCGGTAAACCGAATCTCGCCCACATTTCTCGCAACTCCTTTATAACAGCTTTCGCTGTAGTGCTATTCATTTTAATTGCCTCTATCCACTTTGACTGAGCATCAACTACAATAAGGAAAGTTTGTCCCGCTATCGGCCCCAAAAAATCTATGTGTATTCTGGTCCATGGGCGGTCTGGCCATGGCCATAAGCGCGGTGCGTGCGCCGGAGGGGCGTCAGCTACCGCTGCGCACACGGTGCAGACACGGCACGCTGCTTCTACAGCCTCGTCTATGCCCGGCCACCACACATAGCTCCAAGCCAGCGCCTTCGTTTTTACTACCCCCATATGCCCCTCGTGAAGCTCCTTAATAACTTTATCCCTGCAAGAGTCTGGAATAACGACCCTATGTCCACACATTACACAACCTAGTTCCATGTACAACTCATTTTTTCTGTTAATATATGGTTTTAATTCTCTCATTTCGACGTCGTTCGGCCAACCGTCATTAATATATCTGACTACTCTGATTAATATAATATCCGACGCCGTTTCTTTTTTTAATTTATGTGATTCCAATAGTAACGCTTCTGAAGCAAAATGTAAATATGTTTGTTCTGGGGTGTCTAATTCTTCCTTAGAAGCCCCTTCCTTATGCTCACTAATCAACCTAGACAAAACATCTGCTGTATTTTTGTCCGTGCGAATGTATTCTATATTAAAATCATAAGCGGATAACTTAATAGCCCAGCGTTGTAGTCGACTAGCCGCCGTGTTGGGAATACCCGCCTGCGCTCCAAAGATTGTGACTAACGGTTTATGATCCGTACGTAAAGTGAACTTTCTACCAAATAAATATTGATGGAATTTGTCCATTGCAAATACTATCGCGAGGGCTTCTTTATGAATCTGACTATAGTGTTGTTCAGCGGAGGTGAGTGCGCGCGACGCATACGCCACCACCCGCTCGCCACCGCCGCGGGCGCGCGCTGCGCTAGCACCGCGCCGAGCCCACGCGAGCTGGCATCGCATGTTACTATGCTCTCCAACGACATATCAAAATGTGTCAACACTTCCGCACTACACAAAAGCTTTTTAATTTTATTAAAACACTTTGTATGTGACATTGTCCATCTCCAATGTTTACCCTTTTTTAATAAGTCATAAAGAGGGGTAATATGAGTACTTAAATTTTTTATAAATTTCCCATAGAAATTAACCCTGCCTAAAAACGATTTTAATTCCGATATATTAGTTGGATGAGGCATACCTAAAATAGGCTTTAATTTTCCGGGTTGACTCGAACACACTTGTTATCTATTATGAATCCTAAATATTTTACTTGGGGAGCCATAAACTCACATTTTTCTTTTTTTCTTTTTAATCCGTTAGTTTCCAATATACTAAATACTTGTTCTATACTTTTTAAGTGCGAATCCCACGATTTACTTTTTATTAGTATGTCGTCGTAAAACACCCACGTCCGGCACATTTTTAAAGAGATTTATCATTATCTTTTGAAAAATTCCGGGACTAGAAGCGAGACCATACACTAGGTGGTTGTATTTAAACAGTCTGTGGCGACGCACACATTTATTTATTTTATTTAAAGATATGATTATTATTTCACAGATATGTATGTATATAATTTAATATTAATATTATAATATTTATTATATTTATATTTATCTATAATACAATTACAGTCACACACACATATATATTATACTATTTCTATTTATTATAGTAAATTTTATTTAAGTATTGTATTATAGTATAATTCTCGGTGCCGGCCGGTCGAAGTACATTGGAAACAAACATTCCTTTTAATTATTATCTGTACCTGAGTACTTTGCCTATGTCGCGATATATTCAACGACCAGCCAGTCGCGATCTAATCGTCTGACGTCAATACTATGCCGCTTGCGCTTACGCCGAACTTTGCCCTTACGCATAACTAATATTATTTGAGTGTTCTTTCCTATTTTATGCAAGTGACTGTAAACTGTGCTTCCTGCTATCATCTCTTATCTATTTGTAATCTCATCTATCGCCTTCTGCTTCTTCATGTGAGACTGTTTCTATGTGTTGTGCCGTGAAATATATAACTGTCTAACCGTAATTTATTTGTTTATTCCGGCGACGGACTTACCATCAGGTACCTTATTTACATAACCTTATTCTCCATAACTGGTGACCCCGAGCAGAACATTTAAGAAAGATGAGCAGTGACGGTAGTGACACAACGCATTCGCAAAGAAGGGCGCGGTCAACGAAAAAACGTGAGCGCGTGTCCATTGACTCGCACGATAATTCATCAGATATATTTCGTGTTGGCGTGAGAATACCACCGTTTTGGCCGGAAAAACCGACGATATGGTTTTCACAAATTGAAGGTCAGTTTAGTATATCAAGAATTACGGATGACTTGACGAAATTCCACTACGTTCTTTCGCATTTGGACCGGCAGTATGCAGTAGAGGTAGAAGATATTATTACTTCGCCTCCAGCCACGGGGAAGTACGAGAAACTTAAAAGTGAGCTAATCAAGCGTCTTTCTATTTCGAAAGAAAAGAAAGTGAAACAGCTCCTACAGTCGGAAGAGTTAGGTGACCGCAAGCCATCACAGTTCCTGCGTCACCTGCAATACCTCGCTGGCCCTACGATACCAGACGATTTTTTGGGGTCACTTTGGACGAGCCGCCTTCCAAGCAACCTGCAGACCATCATCGCATCCCAGATGAGCCTGTCCCTCAGCGAACTCGTTGAACTGGCAGACAGGGTCCACGATATCTCACCGGCATCGCCGCTGGTTGCAGCAACATCCAGCTCCAGAGTGGACTCCACATTAGATATTATGGCACGGCAGATCTCGGAACTGACAAAACAGGTTAGTGCACTCACTACGAGACTTAACGACCGCTCTCGCCCCCGCCAACGACAGACGTCACGTGGGCGAAGCCGTACGCCATCGAGAAGATCCCAGTCTAATTATAGGAAGTTCCCCAACTGCTGGTACCATCACAAATATGGTAGCAAAGCGAAAAGGTGCATTCAACCATGTGACTACAGATCGGGAAACGCAACAGGCAATCTATAATGGCGACTGAAGATTGCCCGTCCCCTACTACTGGTCGCCTTTTCGTGACAGATCGCAGATCGCGAGTTCAATTCCTGGTGGACACTGGAAGCGACTTATGCGTCTTCCCTCGATCTGCGCTTCATCAACGACGTGCGAAGACGGACTACCAACTGTGTGCAGCTCATGTTGAGCTCAATCTTAATTTAGGCCTACGTAGAGACTTTGTGTGGCGCTTTACTGTAGCTGATGTAACTAAAGCTATTATAGGCGTAGATTTTTTGTCACATTTTAACCTTATTGTCGACGTTCGTAATAAGCTTTTAATTGATGCCACTACTAAATTGTCAGCTGTAGCTTCTATTTCTTCTAGCGATAACCATATTTTGAGTGTAAAGGTCGTGACTGGTGATTCTAAATTTCATAAAATACTTTCTGAATTTCCAGAACTGACACGACCGGCAGGCGCTCATCGCACACCCAAGCATCACACAGTACATCACATCCGTACCACGCCAGGCCCTCCAGTATCGTGTACACCACGCAGACTCGCCCCGGACAAGCTGAAAATTGCTAAGCTCGAGTTCGAGGCAATGTTGGCAAATGGAACTGCTCGACCTTCCCAGAGCCCCTGGTCGTCACCACTACACCTCGCTCCCAAAAAGGACAATGGTTGGCGACCATGCGGTGATTATCGCATGCTCAACGCCCGGACAGTGCCAGATAAGTACCCTATCCGACACATACATGACTTTGCCTACAATTTATCTGGTTGCAAAATTTTTTCAACCATAGATCTGGTGAAGGCGTATAACCAGATACCAATCTTTGAGGCCGACATTCCCAAATCCGCCATTACGACACCTTTTGGACTCTTCGAGTTCCCATATATTACGTTCGGATTGCGCGGAGCTAGTCAGACGTTCCAGAGGTTCGTTGATGAGATGACCCGTGGTCTAGATTTTTGTTACCCATACCTTGACGATTTTCTTATATTTTCACGCGATGAGTTAGAGCATGAAAAGCACCTTCGTCAAGTATTTACAAGGATGAAGGATTACGGCATGCTCATCAACACCGCTAAATGCGTTTTCGGTGCATCAGAGGTAACATTTCTAGGCTACAACATCTCACAACATGGAACGAAACCTCTGGAAGGTAAAGTTCAGGCTATAAAGGAGTACCCTGTTCCTAAGACAGCCAAACAGCTTAGGAGGTTCTTGGGCATGATAAACTTTTATAGGAGGTTTATCCCCCAAGCTGCCAAAATCCAAGCACCCTTGAACGCCTTATTGACTGGCGCTGTTAAAGCATCGCATCCGGTCAATTTAAATGGAGACTCGTTGAAAGCCTTCGAAGAGTGCAAGGAAAGTTTATGCAATGCAGCATTGTTGGCACATCCTGACTCAAAGGCAAAGCTAGGTCTTGTAACTGACGCTTCTGATCTTGCAATAGGTGGAGTCTTGCAACAGCAAATTGATGGTGATTGGCAGCCCCTAGCCTTTTTCTCTCGTAAATTGAGCCCGTCGCAAAGGAAATACTCACCATACGATAGGGAGCTCCTTGCTGTTTACGACAGCATTAAGTACTTTAGACATTGGCTAGAGGCAACACCATTCACCATCTATACCGACCATAAGCCGCTGTGCTTTGCATTTCGCGAACGAAAGGCAAATTGCAGTCCACGGCAATTTAGACATCTAGACTACATATCACAGTTCTCAACCGACATACAACACATCGCCGGGAAAGATAATGTCGTTGCTGACACGCTTTCCCGGGTTGAGCAGGTCGATGAACTGCTAAGCCCTGTAGATCTAGATGTCATTGCCAAGGCTCAAGACTCCGATCCTGAATTTGCAGATTTGTTAAGGCAGGACACTTCCTTACAAGTTCAAAGAATAAAGATACCTGGTAGTCGCAATGAACTGTACTGCGACGTCAGCACAACGACTCCCAGGCCTTTAGTCCCTAAAGCCTTACGCAAGCGAATTTTTGATAGCTTGCACTCGCTAAGCCATCCCGGCGCTAACGCTAGCGCAAAACTTGTGGCAGAACGCTTTGTCTGGCCACTGATGAGGAAAGACTGTCGCGAATGGTCTAAGGCGTGTTTGGCATGCCAGCGCACAAAGGTAAATCGACACGTTTCGACGCCTTTTGGTACGCTCGATTTACCTACGGCGCGATTCAAATACGTCCACTTAGACCTTATCGGACCTTTACCTCCGTCTGGTGAGTATCGGTACTGTTTGACAGCTGTCGATCGCTTCACGCGATGGACTGAAGCTGTACCACTAAAGGATATCACCGCGGAATCAGTGGCTAAAGCGTTTTTATCTGGATGGATCGCTATCCATCCCGATATAATCCCGTTCGGTTGCCCTACCGATATTGTTACCGATCGCGGTAGGCAATTCGAATCAGCACTATTCGCGCAGTTATCAAGGTTCATTGGCTTTAAGCACCGCAGGACTACCAGCTATCACCCTCAATGCAATGGTCTCGTCGAAAGATGTCATCGGCAATTAAAAACAGCAATCATGTGCCATGCCGATAGCAGTTGGACTGAAGCTTTGCCAATTGTGCTTCTCGGCATAAGAAGCTCTTTCAAAGAAGATCTTCAGTCTTCCTCAGCCGAGTTAGTATACGGCGAGCCATTGCGACTTCCTGGTGAATTTTTTGGCCACAAAGTTGACAAATGTACGACTGACATAACGGACTTTTCAGCCCGTATCAGATCATTTGCCAATAAGTTACAGCCAGTGCCAACTTCGCACCATGCGAAAAACAAAATCTTTATTTATAAAGATCTAACATCTTGTTCGCATATTTTCCTCAGAGAAGATAGTTTGAGAGGTGCGTTACAACCAGCATATACTGGTCCTCACGAGGTGGTTGAGAGAAATGAAAAAACTTTTAAAATCAGAGTAAAGGGCAAAGTCGTGACAGTATCGGTAGACCGACTGAAACCAGCCTACATACTGTCCCACTCCAATGATCCCACTCCAACTCCTTCTCCACCACTTAAACCAACTCCTAATCCCACACCCACTCCACTTCCAGATAGCAGCCCATCGTCAACAACTGCGTGCAAAACAACTCGTTCTGGGCGCAGAGTACATTTCCCAGATTATTATCGCCCGTAGACACGGTCTCTGGAGGGGAGTGATGTGGCGACGCACACATTTATTTATTTTATTTAAAGATATGATTATTATTTCACAGATATGTATGTATATAATTTAATATTAATATTATAATATTTATTATATTTATATTTATCTATAATACAATTACAGTCACACACACATATATATTATACTATTTCTATTTATTATAGTAAATTTTATTTAAGTATTGTATTATAGTATAATTCTCGGTGCCGGCCGGTCGAAGTACATTGGAAACAAACATTCCTTTTAATTATTATCTGTACCTGAGTACTTTGCCTACGTCGCGATATATTCAACTACCAGCCAGTCGCGATCTAATCGTCTGACGTCAATACTGTGCCGCTTGCGCCTACGCCGAACTTTGCCCTTACGCATAACTAATATTATTTGAGTGTTCTTTCCTATTTTATGCAAGTGACTGTAAACTGTGCTTCCTGCTATCATCTCTTATCTATTTGTAATCTCATCTATCGCTTTCTGCTTCTTCATGTGAGACTGTTTCTATGTGTTGTGCCGTGAAATATATAACTGTCTAACCGTAATTTATTTGTTTATTCCGGCGACGGACTTACCATCAGGTACCTTATTTACATAACCTTATTCTCCATAAGTCCTCTATGCGTATTAATAACAGTGTAGTTTCTAGACGTTTCATTTAAAATGTAACTGATTATATGCTTGTGAAAGATCTAGCTTGGTGAAGTAACCACTAAATAAATCTTCTACCTTTGGAACCGGGTACCTATCGACCATCAAAGCTTTGTTCAGTGTCACCTTATAATCCACGCACAGCCGTATTCCGCCGTCCGCCTTCCTTGCTATAACCAACGGCGTGGCCCAGTCCGAGCGGTCCACCGGCTCGACGACGCCTGCGCGCAGCATCGCGTCCAACTCTGCATCCACCCGCGGGAGTAGCGCGTACGGCACGGGTCGCGCGCGGCAATAAATCGGCTGCGTTCCCTCGCGCACGTGCAGTTTGACCTCTTCACCAGTATACTTCCCCAATGTGCCGTCAAATAGATTCTCATGCCTGGAGATAATATCATTAAACGAGTTATTTTTACATGGTACCATATTATGTATTTCTGTACACTTACTTAGCTTAGGTATTTCTATACACAATTCAGACAGCCACTGTCTCCCTAATAAACTAGTGCTACCCTTGTTTATTACATATAAATCCAACTGTTTTACATTATTATTATACTCAACATTTGTCTCCAAGTACCCTATCGGATAAATAGCTGAACCATCGTAAAATTTTAATTTTAATTTACACGTTTTTAAAGGTAACTCCTTAAATAATTTAATGTATGTTGAATAACTTATACAAGATAATGCCGACCCTGTATCGACTTCCATTTTTAAGGGTTTATTATTTATAATTATGTTCATACACACCGGTCTATACTTCGCTAAAGACATCTGATACATCGGTTCCTCGCCATCATCAGACGCGTTCTGATCATCCTCAGAGACGTCACCCGTCGCCGGCCCGCTCAACCAGTGCGCCGCACCAGCCGCAGCGCGGGTGCCCGCGCTAGCGCTCGCTCGAGCAGGCATCCGCATACCGCGTGCCGCCGCCGGCCCCGCCGGCCCCGCCCCGCGGCGCTGCTTCCCGCCGTCCGCGCTGAGGCCGAGCGCGCGACCTCTGCGTGACCTTCCTCGCGCACCGTTTGAATTTGAATTATCCGATGTCATACCACGATCGAATTCCTTCTTCATGCATACTCTTCGCAAATGGCCTTTTTTCCCACAGTAACTGCATTCAAAATTTTTATACCTGCAGTTTTGTGAGCTATGTTCGTCGCCACCGCACGCTGAACAATTTCTGTTTCCTAACTTATGTATCTTCTCGCTAAGTTCCCGGTCCGGATCTTGTTCCCGCGAGCCCTCCACAGCTCCCGCATCCCGCTCGGCTGCCTCTAGGGTATTAGCTAACTGTAGCGCTTTTTTATAATCAAGATCATTTTCTGCAAATAACCTCTGTCGAATAAAATCACTCCGCAGACCGCACACAAACTGATCTCGTAGGTTTTCCTCTAAGTTAGTTTTAACTCGCAATATCTAGCCATCTTTTTCAAGTCCGCCACGTAGTTCGCTATCGATTCGCCTGCTACTTGCCGTCTTTGACGAAATCTGTACCGTTCTGCCAGGATTGATGGTGTCGGTTGCAGGTGTGCACGCAGTAGATCCACCACGACCGCATACGATAGACTTGACGGCTTCTTAGGACTCGCCAACGTAGACAACAATTCGTATGTTTCTTCACCGATGAGCGCGATTAAAGTTGGTAACTTTAAATCGTCCGTTATTTTGTTAACCACAAAATACATTTCTAACCGATCCACACATGCTGACCAGTTGCCGGTTTTCACATCAAAGTCCTTGATTTTGCCTACAGACATTGTTGCGACTATTGTCTACGACACGATCAAACAAAATTATTCTACACCGAACCAAGTTTTATCCTCGTCGCCACTGATAAATAAAAGGCGTGCGTCGAGTACAGGCATTTATTTGAACTGGCGACGGAAATACAATGCGCGCTTACCGGCTAAAACTACCAACCACATTTTATAATATGCAACATATAGGGCCTCAGATAATTTCCAGAACCTTCTACTATAGAAACATCTAGAATGTTCGAGTACATACCGGTCCCGACTGACTAGGCGTCGATAGTTCTAGAAAGTTCTTCCATGGAAAATTCTAGAAGAATCTTGACTCTCCTAGTTCGACTACTCGATAATAAAGGGCGCTAGTGGTAACTAGTGTTGCCATGTACCAGGCATTAATGGTGGCGCTCAACTATATGGACTAATTATGATTATATTAAATAAAAATTACCCTATTTTTTCTGTTCAAAGTATAGGCCTAACCATAGATTAACGTGGCAGAACCACGCTGCAGCTATAATACGGTTGTAGCACGAATCGGTCGGCTCGACCGGGTTAGGACTCAGTTGAAAATAGCAGCTTAATGCTGTTGTTTCGTATGGTGAGTGTGAGTGTTTTTTTTACTGGAAACGAGGCATTCCATCTTAGTCCTCAAGGATGACAACGCATCAGCATTTTGATTCTTAATCGAAGGTGGATATTGTGCACGACGCAAACAAAGTAATACGTCGAACGAAATAACTTACTGATTGCTTGTCGTAACCATCGCTAGTTGAACAACCTAGGGGCGGTGGGCGGAGCCATGAGGATGTTACGATCGTCGGGCCGCGCTCACGGTTCCACAACTAGCGGTGGTTGCACACAGCAACGCGGGAAAAGCCGTAGCAATAATATTGAAAAATATAGCTTTTATTTTTAATAAATAGTATTGTAACTATGTAATAACTCTCGCAATAAAGGCACCGAACAAATGGCGAGAGTTAACATAGATTTAGAATATAGAAATGAATTAATGCAAAATTGTAAAGTAAGTATTGTATGTAAATTGTATTCCTTTATATAGTGCAATTTAATTTCTTATATATTAAGCCCTTAGGCAGGAAAAAAGACGCGGCCGCGGAGCGAATGAGGCTACGCGCGCCGCGCCACGACGTTTTATATTTATAGTACTGAGGCGGGGGGCAGGGTCCTCAGCTCAAAGTTGCTGGAAAAACAACGTTTAAACCTTTAGTATATAGAAAAATTGTTATGTACGTATTAGTTTAATAAGTAGTTGTAAGAATGTTATATATTTAAGTCTGTTCGTTAGTTTGTAAGAAATCTAACCAATAAAGAAAGGCGCGGGGGTGAGGCAAGGGTACGCTGGCCAGCAACGGCCAAATCGTATATAAGACGGGCCGGCCGGAATGGTCGGCAGTCGCTCTCCAGCCACAGAAAAGAAAACAGCAGCAAGAAAAGAAAAACTTCCTCCTCACCGCCGCTTGCCTCCAGTTTAAGCAAGACCAACGCGTTTCATTCATTTTTCGAACGGCGTTACGGCGATCCGTAACATTAATATTCCTTCGAGCCGGATTACTAGAAGAAAAAGACAATATCGGTCTTGGTATTGCCGGAAGAAAGAAGCAAACCGCAAGAACGAAAAAATATTATTGTGAAGAAAAATGGTGATTAGGCGTAGTAACAACGGAGAATCATCGAAGCGTCGCAAGGATGAACAGATAACCCAGGGGCCACAGAAGAGGCCTCTGGGGGCGATTCAACCGCTACTGGTACATCCAACACCACGAGCGAAACCACAACGGTCAGCGATACAACCGCTTCCTCTGCGACCGATAACACGGCCGCAACGGAAGAAACCCAGCAAGAGAAGGATCGAAGATCGCAGCGCACATTAAAGCTCGACGAAGCTAGGTCGCGCCGCTCCGTAGCCTCACGCAAGAGACTCCTCGCGGAGTTAGAGGCGAAAGAGCGGTTAGCCGAACTCAAGCTCAAGCAGGCTCAGTTGCAAGCAAGAACGGAATTGCAAGAAATACACGTGCAGCGATTACAAGCAGAAGTCGGATCAACCGATGATGAAGATGAAGAAATAGAAGACGATTTAGCATCAGTGCGCATTAGTACATGGTTGCAAGAAAAACCTACATCGCAACCAGCGCCGCAGCCCGCGCCGCAACCCACGTCGCACTTCGCATCGCAACCCACGTCGCACTTCGCATCGCAACCCACGTCGCACTTCGCATCGCAACCCGCTCCGCAGTCTACATCGCAACCCGCGCCGCAGCCCACGCCGCAACCCACGTCGCACTTCGCATCGCAACCCACTCCGCAGTTTGCATCACAACCCGCGCCGCAGAAAGAAGACAAAGGGCAGGCGCAGCAACAAATCGACGTCGCTACCTTAGCCGCTGCTCTATCACAATCAGTACGAAGCACAAGGGAGCCGCCGAAATATGTGCAAGAGCTACCTACATTCAATGGTAGCAGAAAAGAATGGCTCAGCTTCAAAACAGCGTACGAAGAATCTTCAAAGTACTTCACGATGAACGAAAACATAGCGAGAATACGCCGAAGCTTAAAAGGGACAGCAAAAGAAGCCGCAGGTTGCCTACTTATAAGCCAACCAGATCCCAGAATGATAATGGAAGCTTTGGAAAGGAGATTCGGACGACCAGAAGCGTTCCACTTGGAAATAGAGAAGCTGAAGCTGCTGAACAAAGTTACGGACAATCCCAGGGAGCTATGCATATTCGCAAATCGCATAGCAAACGTAGTGGGCACCGTGGAAGCACTCAAGAAAGCACACTATCTGCATAGTCCGGAAATGACGCGAGTTATCACAGACAAACTCACGCCCATATTGAGAAGCAAATGGTACGACTATGCAGCCGGAAAGAAGGAAGATATCCCAGAGCTTAAGAAGATATCAATGTTCTTAAACGAAGAAGCGGATAAATGCAGCGCGTATGCCTTGCCGGAGTTCATCGCAGAAGACAGCGAGACGAGAGAGCGAAGGCCGAGAAAAATAGAACGTGCCTTCACCACAAGCAAGAAACAATATGACGAACGCTGCCCTCAATGCAAACAAGAACACAAACTGCCCGATTGCAAGTCATACGCCGCTCTGTCCACAAATGACAGATGGGAAGTAGCAAAGAAGTATAATATCTGCTACCGCTGTCTGCGAGGCAAACATCGCCGATTGCTGTGTAAAGCTCCACCGTGCGGAAAAGGCGGATGCAGGATAAAACATCATAAATTGCTGCATCACGACAGAACAGCAGAAATTGAAAAGGATCCCGCTATGGAAACCGCAACATCGGCAAGGGAGGTCATCACAGCGACTCGACCGTACAAACACCGCCGCGCTTATCTAAAGATTGCGCCCGTAACAATAAGGGGGCCGCTAAGCTGCGTCGAAACATATGCATTATTGGATGAAGGAAGCACGGTCACCTTAGTCGATGCCTCGATCGCCGACGTCATCGGCGCCGACGGCCCAGCCCACGCAATGTGGATACAAGGGGTCGGCTCGGAGGTGAAACATGAAAAGAGCAAGATCGTCAGCCTTAAAATAAGAGGAAAGTACGCGCAAGAGGAACACAACATAGAAGCAGCGCGTACGGTAGAGCGGTTGGACTTCGCGCCAGAATCCGTGAATGAAAATCACTTGGAGAATTGCCAACATCTGTTGGATATCAAAGAAGATATCACCTACGAACGCGCCTCACCGAAAATACTAATCGGACAAGATAACTGGCACCTCATAGTGTCTAGAAAACTGCGCGCCGGTCGTCGAGACCAACCAGTTGCCTCACACACCAACCTGGGCTGGGTTCTGCATGGCTGTCATAGCTCATTGACGTCGACGGTCACCTTCTGCGGCAGACTACATCAGAGGGAAGATACACAGCCGATAGAAGAGGAAATAAAAAATTATTTCAAATTAGAATCGCTGTGCATCGAGCCAAGAAGACCGAAAGAAGATCCCGAGCAGCGAGCTATGCAAATATTGAGGGAAACCAGCCAGAGGTCGGCGGACGGCAGATTCGAGACAGGGTTGTTGTGGAAACAAAAGGATTTCCAAATACCAAATAATTACAAGGACGTGGAAAGGCGCCTGCACACCTTAGGGAAGAGGCTCGACCGAGACAGCAATCTCAAGCTACAGTACGAAGAACGCATATAGAACCTTTTCAACTCGGGTTACGCAGAGCGCGCGCCCATGCCACCGCCGCAAGGAAGGACATGGTATCTGCCACACTTCCCAGTCATCAACCCTGCGAAACCAAACAAGCCGCCGAGATTGGTGCACGACGCCGCAGCGAA